TACTTACGTCTCAATAGTCGCGATTTCCTCTCCAGCTAATCAGTTTGCAGGATACGCCCGTTTACTCCTTTGCTGCCGAGAGCGGAACGCCTTTTATACAGTGCATTGTGTCATTAGGAAAAAACTAATTTTAGCGCAGAGAACAAACTAAATTCTCAGCGCGTGATTTCTCAAAAAAATAAATGCAATTTTAGAATACCACCGTCTCTGTAAATTGCGTCTAAATTGGTGTAGAGTTTTCCGCTACCATTAAGAACGCATTCTTAATATCGCTTGGTGGCACAAGTGTTCAGCGGCTGAAATAACAGAAAATAGAACATAAAATGTATAAGCGTGAGAAAAAGCTGATGTTGATGTAAAATCGCATGTGAGGAAAATGATTGTTGAAAAATCTAGTTGAAAAATGGCAATGTTAAAAAGTTTTAGAAACATTCTTTGTTTCTTTCCGGTGCAAACAACTGTGATGAAGTCGAAATATATCACCAAAATTGGTTTTAACCTGAGCATCTTTAAGGAAATAGCGACGAAAAGATAAACGCTGTTTAGTTTTTTTCACTCAGTGTTTTAGAACTTAATTCAATGCTTACACCAGAAAGTATGTTCCGCTTGTCACAGTATCCATTGGAAAGGCTAACTTGTCGGCATCATGTTTTTCCTGTACATCTTTCATGTTTTCGTCTGCATTTCTTCTTTATTTTTAGGTCCCATGACTCAGGAATCGAACTAGTAAACTATGCATTAATTAATGGTATGACGAAATGCATTATCTTGCATGTTCCACAAATGGTCGGCAGGCGGATAAACATAAATTAGCTCTCCGCTCGCTATAGTCTTGTAAAACGGAGTTTTTAAGTTTGGCAAAAAAAAGTAAATAGCACAAGCAAATTTGGCAGCTTTTTGGGAGACTGTCACTCAAGAAAAAAGGGTTCAGTTTATGACAATGAAATGACTCCCCTTTTCGATCACACCGTCTAGTTATAATTTCTTACATAAATAGTTATTCACTCGTTTACTATTAGCATAGTAACCCACCCATAACGTTCGGTGATCAATTCGGTCATATTGCCCTTAGTTCCAGTCATGTTCAATTTTCGAAGCCTATCTCTAGTAAATGTCCTACGATTTTCTTAAGTTTATTTTTTTGCATTTCACTCCCCAGGTTAGGCTATTTTTTGTAGAAAAAAGGAAACCTGAATTTTCGGATTCAAAAATGTGATGGAGAGAGGGATCAGAAAAATTTTCACTTTCGTAATGCGCTAAATTACATCTAAAATTTTCAGGAAAATAAAAATGAAGCCGTTATTATTTCGAAAACACTCAAATTCCTCTAGGATGACCCAACATATACAAATTTTATAGCGCCACTTAGAATGCATTTCTAGAGCTCTAAAAGTACTCTGGATAGCCTTTAATAAGTGTTTTCAATGTACTTAGGAGGAAACCGTCGTTGGGTGCCCCAGATTTATTAAATGAAACCTTACCAAATTTATCAAAATCGAGAGAAGAAGAGAGATATCTTCCATTGCTCTTATTGTAAATTACGGTACTGTCTTATAGTATTTTCAATCAAAAGTCGGAGAACAGTTCCGACTAATTCTATTAATTGACCGCAGTCAATCCATTTTTCCGTGACCGTCTTCCGTGGGGTCAGATAAACGCAACAACATAATGGTACAACTGTTTACTTTAGAAATCTCCCTTTTTAGTTATTGTTTCCTCTATTAGCTTCCATTTGTCAGTAATATTAAATAATTTCAATTCAAAAACATTTTTAGTCTTTTTCCGCTTCTTTGATGCGCAATAAATAAAATGAACACAGGAAGTTTACCATTAGTTATCTGCAGATGTATTTACTTAACATGTCGGTATACAAGGGTAGTTGCAGCAAATTAAAGTGCGATGGAAATAAGAGGAATTCCCATTTAAACTTTCAGCACTGTTTCAGTTGGAAAACATATTTGACATGTCTGCAAGAATGAAAATAGAATGGAGAACATAATTCTCACAGCTCATCATATAACATACTGTTTATTTGTCATAAACGTTTAACAGTCCGTGAAAAATAATCGTTGGATTCCTATGGTATACCATCTCTACAAATAAAACCTCTGTTCCGCGGGCTCTATTCTTGTACGATATCCGTGCCTTTTAGCGTGCGAATACTGCTGTCTCTCCTTGCATGCCTGTAGTCATTGACGGGGAGCGAGAAGAGGCTGCAGTGTATTCACGAAAAAAAATGGCATGCTTCGATAATGATTATGGTCAATGATCATGTTTTATTAAATTTATTTCAAGTTAATCGTTGCCATCGAATATCTAGAACGTCCTCATTTCTCGCCAGTAAATACAGTTGTTTGTCTCATACATCACGCTATCCTTTTTACTCTGGGTGATTCCAGAAGATTATAAGGTATGTGACACCCCTCGTCNTTTTCCGCTTCTTTGATGCGCAATAAATAAAATGAACACAGGAAGTTTACCATTAGTTATCTGCAGATGTATTTACTTAACATGTCGGTATACAAGGGTAGTTGCAGCAAATTAAAGTGCGATGGAAATAATAGGAATTCCCATTTAAACTTTCAGCACTGTTGCAGTTGGGAAACATATTTGACATGTCTGCAAGAATGAAAATAGAATGGAGAACATAGTTCTCACAGCTCATTATGTAAGATACTGTTTATTTATCGTAAACGTTTAACAGTCGGTGCAAAATAATCGTTGGATTCCTATGGTATACCATCTCTACACCTCTGTTCCGCGGGCTCTATTCTTGTACGATATCCGTGCCTTTTAGCGTGCGAATACTGCTGTGTCTCCTTTGATGCCTGTCGTCATTGACGGGGAGCGAGAAGAGGCTGCAGTGTATTCACGAAAAAAAAATGCATGCTTCGATAATGATTATGGTCAATGATCATGTTTTATTAAATTTATTTCAAGTTAATCGTTGCCATCGAATATCTAGAACGTCCTCATTTCTCGCCAGTAAATACAGTTGTTTGTCCCATACATCACGCTATCCTTTTTACTCTGGGTGATTCCAGAAGATTATAAGGTATGTGACACCCCTCGTCTCCTACACCGTAAACTCGCTCGTTCACCTTGCGCTCTATTTCTTTCTTTCTAGACTGCAGAACAATTGAGGGAGGAATAAGGCTCTATTAGAGCACATATTTCTTGAGCCTTTGCGATCCTAAGAGGGGAATTCGGGTGGAGTGCGGGGGAAGTTGTTTGGCGGAAATGTTGACAGAATGCTTCAGAACAAAAGTTCTAATTAGCCTGAAGAGCTACTTGTCCCCTTAATATTCCATGCCGAAAACACTATCACTAAGAATTTTTTTTCATCGCTCTCTAAAAATAAAACTTAGGCTATTTTCACATTATAACAGAGAAAAGAAACCATAACTGATTTATAGGGCCTCTGTTCACACTAACTGAGATGATTTCGACGCCATTTGTTTAACGGAAGCTGGATGGAGCAAAGCTGCCCCGAAACGATCTTGAAAGTCATGGATCGTCACATATCGAAAACGTACTCGGACCGTAGCGGAAGTACCAATCAACAAGGGTGAGGACTGGAACGCAATGAGATAGAAGTAAATACTCAGGAGTTAGGATTTCGATTTAGTGCAACAAATTAAAACTTTATCAGCCAACCACTCCATATGGTACAGTTCGATGTGTGCGTGTGTACGGCTTGTTCCAGTTCTGCAGGTTCTGTCGTTTTTGTTGATACTGTACCGAATAGCTTTTCATGTCGGCACGAAAACTCTTCGGTATAATGTAGACATAGCCTGAAACTTCAAGCTTCAAAATGATCGATGACTAGTAGAATGCGTATGCAGTGTTTACGGGAGAGCTGGAATGAGACTGGAGTTCCCGCGCATCGCGCTTCGCGCGTGCGAAAACCTCTCTCGCAGTCTAATAACTACGCAGGCTAATAAGATAGCCCCATGTAAGGTAATCCAAGATGGTCTTGGATTCTGGATTCTACGCCGTGGATCCTAAATTTCGGATTCCTAGTCAGTGGAACTTACATTCAGGATTCCAGTTGTTATTGACATTCCGAGTTCCTTAAGCTGGATTCCGGGTTCCAAAGCCCAGGATTCTAGAATTCCACTAGCAAAAATTTCCCGGATTCGGGAATCCTTACTCCGGGAGATAAAAATCCCGAAATCGAAAATATCAAACCCCAAAAAATCCTTCGATCATCTCCCTGTCACATGAAATCCGGAATACCGCCCCCCCCCCCCCCCCCCCCCGGTGGTGGGGGTAGCATCCGCTAGT